AAAAAAACAAAAAACAAACAAAAACAAAAAACAAACAACAACAACAACAAAGTAAAAAACAGAATCCCAGAAAACAGCACAGTTCTGTTACTCTTGTGATACTTGGCACCATTATTTTTTTAAATTAGTTTCTCAGTCATCATCTGGGAGGAAACCATTCTGAGCAACATCATTAAAAACAGCTCTGATAAAGCATGGTCACTACTATGTATCATAAAGCAGGTCTACATATGAGTGAGTACATATCATGTTTGTCTTTTTGTGATTGGGTTACCTCGCTCGGAATGGTTTCTTCAAGTTCCATCCATTTTCCTGCAAATTTCAAGATTCCATTGTTTTTTTCTGCTGAGTAGTACTCCATTGTGTAAATGTACCACAATTTCTCTATCCATTCTTCAGTTGAAGGGCATCTAGGCTGCTTCCAGTTTCTGGCTATTACAAATAATGCTGCTATGAACATGGTTGAACATATGTCCTTGTTATATGAATGTGCTTCTTTTATATACATTTATTTGAATTTAAATGAATTTGAATTTAAATGAAGTTATGTCACTTATAGTGAGATTGTTCTCCCCAGAACTATGAACAATCTAACAAAAACCCCAGTGCCAGGCATGGCAAATCTTCCTTTGAGTGGTAAGGCCTGAGCGTCCAAGAGACTCCCAAAACAATAGGGACTATTTCCATTGCCCTTGGCTGCCTTCCAGTTCTTGGAGGTAAGACCTTATTCCTAAAGATGTCAAATGCTCAGACACAAAACCTGGAAGAATCTAGCTGGAATTGACCTGTAAGTTTCCCCCTGAGGAGTAGCTCTCATAGCATCTTAAGGTGCTATACAAACTTTCAAGAGACAAAAGAAATCAGCAATCCTACAAAGCACAGTGGTGACCAGCATGTAAGATATACTCAAGAGTACAATAACGGCACTTAACAGCTTGGTAATAACCAACAGTCACCGAATTATAAGGTCCTACTCAATAGGAAGAAATTCATGCCTGGTACTTTAAACCTAGCCAAGTATCTATGGCTGGTGAGTTCACAGACCCTAGAGTTTACTACTGCTACTTCCCTAAACTGTATAATTGCCAACTGCACTCTAAATACCTATTATCATATCTACATATCAAAGTGTGGTGTGGTGATACATTGTTTATGATCTAATAAAGCTTGCTTAGAGATCAGAATGCAAAGCTAGCCACAGCCATAGAGGCCAGGCAATGGTGTGTACAACTTTAGTCACAGCACTGAGGAGATATATAAGACAGGAGCAGGGTCTCAGAGTGGGCATTCAGTCTTGGGAATTAGACTCCAGCCACATTTAGGACAGGATTTCCCCAGCCTTGGTAGAGGTAAGAGCTCTCTGGTGGCTTAGCTGTTTTGCTTTTCTGATCTTCAGCTTGAACCCCAAATCTGTCTCTGGGCTTTTATTAATCGTACTACACTATAGTTCTCATTCCTCATCAAAGAGGCTTCTTTTTGAAGCAGATAGACACCATCACAGAAATTCACAACTGGTCAAAATACACAGAAGGGCTTGGGTTGTCCCTCCCCAAGTGATTAATCTACAATACAATCCCCACTCCTTAGGCCCAGAGAACACTGCAAAAGAGGGAGCAGAAAGATGTAAGAACCAGGAGACCAGGACATTTGCTACAAGATAGTGCATTCCATATAGGACATGAAATCTTCACAGCATGGTCACCTCAATGAGGCCTACACAATGACAACACCAGCTGATATTCCAACGTTTGTGGGAAAGATTTCACCATGCCCCATCTAACTACAGGCAGTTAAAAGCTGTGAAGAGATGGAGAATCAGTCCTCTCGTCACTAGAAGTCCAATGAACTATCCATTGAGCCACAGAGCCACATTAGAATCAGTCCTCTCAAATCACTAGTTTCTTGATAGGTTATCCAACCCCAAACTGTCAGCCTGAAACATATATACAGCTGAAGAACACTAAATGAACACAGCTGGTTGTATTCACACATATGTTAGTGTGTATGAATACATGTATGTGATAATACTTATTTAAATGAAGGTATGAAACAACTGAATCAGTGTCTATTCATTAACCTGATGTCCTTTAACCTTTAGTTGCAGTATATTTCAATGTTCTCATCTACAAAGT